ACAACAAAAAATGCCTATGAAACAGGAAGAAGAAGAAAAGGAGGCAGATGAGGAGAGGAAGAAGAGGAAGAGGGGAAAAAAGAAAAAATGCATTCTAAATTCATGGGATTCCTTGAATTTGCAGATGATCCAAAAAGATGGAGATTATACTAACGTCCTTCTAATTAATGAATGCAGTGTCTTTTTTATTTTTTTGCACTTTACTGGATTTCCTTTACCAATGTTTTATTTCAAATGTATAAATTTCAATTGTATAAATTCAATTTTAATAAATTTCAAGTGTATAAATATTCAAATTTTTGACAAATTTATTACTGGATTTTTTTATTGATATTGTGATGATTTTCTTAATTTCCTTTTTTGGATTACTCATATTTATGTATAGAAAACTACTGATTTTTGCACGTTGATTTTTAAATCCTGATAACTTATTGAATTTATACATTTAAAAATAATACCAATATCTTTTAAATTCTCCTCCAAGTGGAATAAGCTTTTCCAAAACCATTTTATGAATATGGTTCAGTGACATAAACAGTTTATGAATAAAAACTGAATTTCATCTAAGATTGGGGATAAGGCAAAGCTGTGCACTTTCTGGTGAAGCACTTGGCTAATCCATGGTAGACCCTAGCTTCAGTCCCTAGTATTGTGAAACAAATTCATCTTATGATCCCAGCATCGATCTCCTGCCAAAGCCAAAGTACCCCCCAAAAAAGAAATTTACAAGTTAATGTCTCATTTTGAATAATACAGATATGAAAATCCTAGGAAACAAACCCCACAGTATGCAGAATGGATTAGACACGGTGACCAGGAGTGACTTATTCTAGGGAAGCAGTAATTCTTTAACCTATGAAAAAGAAACCAATGTGATCTATCATTTTAACAGAAACAAATATAAAAGCCACAAGGCCACCTGAACAATTACAGAACTAACAAAATGCAATGGGTATTCACTGTAAAAACAACAAAATACACATAGAAGGACCTTGCTTCAACATAATCCAGTACATATCTAAAATCCTATCATGGGCTTGAGAATCCACAGCAAAAGCTGGATCTCCCCTAAGATGGGGAACAAGACAAGGGTCTCCTTTCTGGCCAATGTAGTACCAGATATTCTAGTCAGTGACTGAAGCTGAAAAACAAAGGGGATCTAAATTAGAAAGAAAAAAGTAAAACAGTCTCCACAGATCACATGATAACGTGGGTTGAGAATCCTAAAGACTTGGGTAGAACTTGGGATCTGACTTCTGGTGCGGGCGCCTGGGCTCTGTCCACCTCATCTTCAGCTTTAGCCTGTGCCTCACTTCAATTCAGTCACCTCTTACTGCAGCCCCACCAGACAAATGTACTGTGAAATAAAACACAGGCTGAAAACTTATTATTATTATTATTATTATTTCCATTGCAATCTGTAAACTCCTCTAACCCAGCAGTTCCTTTTTCACCCAAATAATCTAGTTCTGATTGCTTAATCTTTCTTAACTTTGCCATCCCCCTCGTTCCCCACCAGAGAGAGTAAGTTGAAGGAGGAAGATGAACTTTCAGACATCTAAAGAGGGGAGCCGCAGTGTGTTCTCATTTACCTTTAGACTTCGGATGACTTCTTTTAAAACTTGAAGTTCTTTAAACAGATTTAGATTTTTTCTAACTTTCAGACGTGTTCTTGTATGTTCTAGGAGTACCTCCCAGCTTGGAGACCTCACCTACATCAGTTTAGCTTGAGAGCCAGTAAACCCACAGTAGGCTTAAAAGACAAATGCTAAACAGGACACAGTGCATGTTCTCTTAAACACGTGACAATGCTCCTTTCTATAACCCAGCTCTGTTAAGTTATGTCAAAACGTTAAAATCCTGAAGCCTATAAATAGAATTTTCCTTTTTTTTTTTGTTCTGATGCGTTGTGACATATTTACTAGTCTGACTAGGAATGTCAGAAGTATTTCCATGTTACATGTCTTCAAATTATTATATTCTCTTATTTAATAATTCTTTATTAAAGCTCTATTGTGTTACTGTTGTTATTTTAGCCAGTGGAGATAGAAAACCAGTATCAAGATAAAATACATTGCCTCAACTGATCCATTTTGTGTTGCTATAACAAATGTATCTAAATCTGGATACATTATAAATAAGAGGTTGATTTTAGCTCACATTTTTGGAGATTGAAGGCCACAGCATCATCTGCCTATTGGGCTATCTGGGGAGCACCTGTGGCAGAAGGTATCACACAATGAGATCACACAGGAAGCAAGACTCTGAGGAAGGGCTGACTCCCACCTTCTAAACCTTCTTCCTCACTGTTATTACTGTTCTATACAGGAAGGGTGATGGCTTTAGGAGGAGGGGCCTGAGACAAGGCCCAAGGAGTGAGGTAAGTTCTCTTAGGAGAGAAGTCAGTGGCAAGTCTTCTTATCTACAACCTTATGAGGTGAGGGTGTGGAGACTCTGCTTTTAAGTGGAATTGCCATTAATAGACACCAAAGCAGCCAAAACCTTGAATTTGAGAATTCCAGACTTTGAGATTTTCAGACTCTAAAAGAGACATTTTTGCTGCATTAAAATCGTCTCCCCCAAGTACGTGGGATTTTGCTGGAGCAATCTGAACAGACAAAAACCTGTATACAGTGTGTTGATTTGATAAGAATGGCCCCTGTAGGCTCATGTACTTAAATGCTTGGTCATTAGTGAGTAGCACTTCTTGAGAAGGATAAGGAGGTGTGGCCTGACTGGAGGAAGTGTGTCACTGGGAGTGGGCTTTTGAGTTTCAAAAGCCCAAGGCAGTCCCAGTGTCTCTCTCTTCTTGCTGCCTGCTGATCTGGATCCAGATGTAGAACTCTCAGCTACTTCTCCCGAGCTAAGTATGCCTGCACTCTACTGTGCTCCCCACTGTGATGAAAATGGACTAAATCTCTGACACTGCAATCCCGCCCCTGTTAACTGCCTTTTTTCCTATGAGTTACCACGGTCATAGTGTCTCTTCACACCAATAGAACACTGACTAAGTCATACGACATAAAGCTCGGAGATGGAAAGTGTCCTAAATAAAATAGTCACAGAGGGTCAAGGGCAAGAGCATGGCAAGGGACAGCCACTGAGGCACTGACTTCTGGGAGAAGCCTAAATAAAGACAGCAAGTGATTCCTGGAATGTCTGAGGTAAGAATATTCATCTAAATTCATTTATGACTCAAGGACCCAAGCTGTGAAACAATGAAAAACAGAAAGGCAGACCTGACATTTTTTTAAAGAAAAAAAATCAACTTCCTGTTATGTCAGGATAAATCATGGGACCCGAAAACCACACAGACACAAACACTCACTTGTGTGGATTTGTGCCAGGGAAAAATACAAATCCTTACCAAGCCACTGATAAGCAGGGGTGAGAGCCAACGCTGTGAACAAGCTTTTAACGCAAGAGAAATGGATCCCTGGTCAGAAAGCAAGTTTTCTTCTGGACTCTGACCATCTGCAAAAGTGAAAAAGTATTGGCAGAAAATCTGGATAGCTTACCATGAAACAATGGCAGGAAGTCTCAGCTTCCATCCCAACCCTGAGACAGAATAAGCTCCATTCCTGCACAGACAAAAACAGAGTTCTTCCTCCCACTCCCAGGTCAGTCTGAATAGATCTTAGGAAGTTAGGAATACTTGAGTATAATTTATTTGACATTAAGTAGCCTTTGGTTATATAAAACATATATTTAAAGTGTGTACAGCAACTTAGAAACCCTATCTGATGCTTAGACAGGTGGGGAGAGTTTCAATACACTTGTCTCTACTCACAGCAAGTTTTTATGAGGTACTATGCTGTCAGCAGTACTAGAACTTAAAAGGGACCGTTGAAATTCCAGTCCTTTTGTCTTTCTGGATCAGCAGCCTGATTATTTACTGGAGAGCGTAGAAATAAACACTGGCGAGAATATCATAGAAATGAGTCCTCCTACTTGCTCGGGAGACTCAAGTTTTCTGTAATTGCTTCATTCTCTTTGAGATGGGCAGTTGTGTATATTTTAATCTCTGGTAAATTTGTAGTTAACTTGAATCTATGAAAATTGATTTTTTTAAAATGAGCAGAAACCATCATAGTTTGAGAATTAGGGCTGCTAATTAGGGCCCCTGCCCTTCTCAGGAATGTGTCACAGAATTCAGAAGGGTGAGTTACCTCAGCTGACCACACCTCAACACCCCAGAGTTCCTGCAAGGGTTCTCAAGAGTGCACACTACAGATTTCCAACCTAGAGATGAATTTTACTGGGTGGAAGTGACATTTAGCATCTCCTTTCCCCACTTTCAGTGTCTCCTGATGCACAGAGGACCTACCCTGTCATGATGAAGGTAAGAAGGGCATTCACTATAATTACTATAATTGTCCTTAGCCAGGGGATCACAGCATCCCTGGCCAGGGACTAAACCACTACTATAATTGAACGCCTTGCATTCTCATTCCCCTACATACTCACATAGAAAGGATCCTGTTGTCACACATTTGAATCCCAGTGAAAATGGCAACAAAAATCCCAAATAAACATAGTTAAATACATATGAATAAATAGAACAAATATATTTTTTAGAATTAATATACCAGATACAGGGAGATATTACCTAGGAATTTTATTACCTGAAATTTATAAACAAAAGATATTAGGTAAAGAATGTAATTGAGTGTGTATGGGCTTCTGAAAAACCCTCTCTGACTTTGTGACAAGGTTTTCAGCATCGGAACGCCAGCATTACATGAAGGTGAAGTTAGGGGCAGCTATAAGGACCTTGCTTTCTTCCTCTGCATGTAAATGAAGGAACAGGATTCAAGAAAATGCCCCTTGTCCCCAGACAGCTTTGGATGTGGCTGAAAGGAGGGCACTTAGTAACGAGGGAGGAAATGACGGGAAGGAAATAGTTTGTGTCTGGAAGCCATGTGGAATTCCAAGATAAGAAAAACCGTTGCTAATTCGAGTATAAAAGCAGGAAACATGATACACTTACTTCCTTTTATGTAAACACAAGTATACGTGGGGTTGCGTGAAAATTATTTTTCTCTTGCTCAACCACAAAGGCATAGAATCAAACTGCTTGTTGTGGACACGCTGGCTTCTTTTTCTTGTGGACATTATGGCTAATAACACAACGAGTTTAGGGAGTCCTTGGCCAGAAAACTTTTGGGGTAAGCTACCTTTCCTTCACTGGTTTTTAACTTGTTAAGGTGCACAGAAATTCTCTGCATAATTTATTACAACATTGGGAATCTCTAAGACAGTTTGATTGCCATAACTGTCTGGTGATGGTTTTCATAAATTTTATTCAAGAAATGTCATCAGAATAAGCTACAGAAACATAAAGAAGAATCAGGCATATAAGGCTTGGCTGGTGTTAAAAAATTTGTTTAGAAAATAAGTTTTTTTAAGTGAAAATTTAATATATATACATATATATAAAGTACACATCATTGTCAAATGGAATATAACACGTGGGTTTTGTTGGAATGTTACATTTTATTTATCTGAAGGTGATGTATTCTGTATTTTACTTCATGAAACCGAGGTGTTCTACAAAGGGTTTCAAAGTCTGTGTTTTTGTCGGTGTTAGTCTTTTTAATTTTCAAAGTGATTTTAAACAACAAATCTATTCGTGAATGGCCTTAGAGTAAGGTGGAATTAAAATGAAATTATGAATCTAGAAAAGATGAAGCAGAAATAGCATATACTATTACAATGGAAGCCTGTCACAAAAGGAAGAGAAACAATATCGAAGTGTGCTTTGGCCAAGGCTACTCAGCTAGAGGTCTCAGAGCAGGAGGGAGGTGCTGAAGTCAAAATCACCATACACTCCAGGCCAGATTTAGGACGCAGAGACTGGGATGCGCAAAGACATTACCACGTCTCTGTGGTTTGAAGAAATGTAGAAGTAGGGGAAATTATTTAAGTTAAATCCAGAAGGAACTTAAAGGAGAACTGGAGTTTATTAAGGAGATCTATACCTCTATTATGTTGAGGATGAGTTTTTAATCATCTCAGAAAACTGTACCAGGCTCGCTGCAGTGCCTGGAAGCAGGGCTCTGGAAGCTATCTGGTAGACCCTGTGCAGTTATGGCAACCTGGTCCTGGCAATCTATTACCACAGTTATTTGCATGAAGGGGATTAACTAGTTAATTATTTTTTATTAATTAATGTGCTTGGTTTAAGCTTTAAGAGGTTTAGCATAATAAGATTAGTGGAAAATAAGCTGTTCATGTCTCAAATAAGTCTCAAATCAAGAGAAAAGAAACTTTGAACTCTGAATGGCCTAATGGTATATTTGTGAAAATATCATTTGCTTGTCCTCATTTATATTAAATGAGGAAAACAGCCAGGCTGCATCTAAGCCAATTTATCATCACAAAGCAATTGTAAATTATTCCAAGGCAAGTCATCCCAAGAGTAAAGACTAACACAGAAAAGCCAGTTCTGACTTTTCAAACTATTGAAGTTAATCTCCGGGTTCATATAGGAAAATGAACTCATTGTTCATTGGCTGGAGCACAGATGACTCATTAAAATAAATCTTACACTTTTTGAGTCCATTCCTTTATCCTGGCATTTAGACGCCTTAGTAAGGAAATCCATCTGTGCTTAAGAAGGAATTCAAGATTCCTGTGTCAAAGACACATGTTACTGCTCCCTTCTCCTGGCGTGTAGATACAGTTCGGTGAAAATCAAAGGGAAAACAGTGGACCAAACATACATCTGATGCTTTGTGTGAGACAGGTAAAAGATGCCATCATCATTTCTGGAGTAAAATGATGAACTATAAAATGCAATCATAACTTTAGTGTATGAAATATAAATATTTCCTGACATGTAACTGTCAGTCTTTCCTATTTTCATTCTGTTTTGCATCTAAGCTGATATCTGTCTTGATCACCTGTCCCCTCGAAATAGTACTTTAGAGCTCACGCACAGTGCGGTGGAATCTGCTTCCAAAAGGACTCTTTTTGTGTGACCCTTTGAATTAAGAGAATTAAAACAAATGAAACAAAACACACCTGGCATAGACCATAACAACTCGTAGGAGCTTCTCAAACTTAACATATCGACATGCTTAAGAAATTCAAAATATAACTTTCAGGCTTACTTAAGGAATGCAAAAAAAAAAGTAATGATACTCAGTTACCACAGCGATGACAGTCTGCATTGTTTTCAAAGCAATCATTCAGTCAGACCCACTATACACGGTGCAAGTGGTAACACCACTGGTGCTACCCCATAGCAGCAGCAAACTGAGAGCAAGCAGCAATGCAGATGATTGCACCGTGCTGCTCAACCTCTACTCTGTGTAATGCACTTCCCTTCTCTGGAAACCATCCCAGAAGGGCAGCAGGAAACAGAACCGCAACATTTCATGGAACCCACATTGCTCTTGGTACCTGAGAGTCCACACAAGATACTTCTGTTTCTTTCTGCTGTCTTATTGCTGTGTTGTCGTTGTTGCTGTTTTTCTAACAGTTTGGCTAGCACTGGCAAAAACTGGAGTATTTATTGATGTATGGACTTGCATTTATTCATCTAATTGGTCTTACCGCACCTCCCACAATATTACTTCTCTCTTGAAAGAGTTGCATTCTGGGAGGTGATTATGTATTCCTCCATATGCAGATAGAAGCCTATAAATCAATCAAAGATATCAATGACTCCTGCTTTGACATATAGTATCATTATGTTACACAAAGAGATCATGAATAAGAATATGCCATAGAAGTTAAAATATGATAAATTGTTTCTGAATCATTTTTAGGAAAAAATAGGGGGTTATTACCAATTCCTAGAAAACCTAATAACCTCCAAAGAAAAAGGTTCTTCCTCTTCTTCTTCTTCTTCTTCTTCTTCTGCTTCTTCTTCTTCTTCTTCTTCTTCTTCTTCTCCTCCTCCTCCTCCTCCTCCTCCTCCTCCTCCTCCTCCTCCTCCTCCTCTTCCTCCTTCTTCTTCTACCTCTTTTTTTGTGGTTTTTCGAGACAGGATTTCTCTGTATAGCCCTGGCTATCCTGGAACTCACTCTGTAGACCAGGCTATCCTGGAACTCTCGAACTCAGAAATCCACCTGCCTCTGCCTCCCAAGTGCTGGAATTAAAGGCGTGCACCACCACTGCCTGGCAAAAAGGTACTTCTAAGAATGACATTCTGCTCATTCATTTCTGACCATTAACTGCCTTCTCTGTCATTCATTTACTCTGAAGCTTTGGTTGACCTTATTAGGCAACATTTAAAGGTGATAGGTGTGAGGCATTGTCTGAGAGTTTGGGGCAGTTGGGAAAACTGTTATCAGCCACTAGGGCATGAGTGCAAAGATGCAAACAACTAGCCAGAACATCTGTATATGAAAATTACAGAGACAGAACTGGGAAGTCAGAGTGGAGGAGGATTTCTTTAAGATTCTGAATAGCAATGTAGAAGTTTGAGTTAATACAACAGACTCTCTTGCCCTGCAGTGACTCCAGGCTACTCACCTCCCACTTTCTTTGGGTTTCTCCCTAAAGTTGAAAACAGCCTTTGAGGTCTGAGGATGACCTCAGGTACAAGGGAGAGTGAGCCAAGAGTTCTTGATCAAGGTCCTCTGCTGACATCTAGTGACAAGTGTGCCCTAGCTGTTTTGGGGATGGTTTTCTCTCCCTGTCTTCATGGCTGGAGCCCTTTAATGGAAAGCCAGGTTCTTGTGTTCTGTGAAATTCTGACTAGCAGCATGGTTTTTCTTCTCTGTGAGGCTCCGTGGTTGGTCTTCTGACTCTCATCCTAATACTGTCCCACATATCTCAGTGCACAAACAACTTTTAACGTTCTTCCATTATACTGGAACTTCAGGAGTCTAGCTATTGTTCTGCCCTTCTGGCATCCCAGGCTTCTCTTGGGGGTTATCCTCTCAACATGCTATTCACAAGGGATCTAGGAGTGGATGCTGACTGCCAGGGTTCCCTGAGGCACAAGTAAGGATGGAGGGATGGAGGGATGCCCTTATTCCTCAGAGCTCTAATTGTTTATATACTGTAAAGCCGTTCTCTTTCTCTCTGTCTCTCTCCAAAATCTGTCTATACACTCCTCATGAAAAACCACACACGTTCTACTTCCTGTTATTGTTTATTCGAAAATCTGTATTTTTGAGTTCTTGAGGCTTCTGGTGTTTTGAAGCTGAAACAGAAAAAGAAACAAACAACAAACAGCATCGTGGTTACAAATCACCTTGTTATTGCAGTTCAGTGCTGACTTTCAAAATGACGCTACAACCTTTGTTTAATGATTCATCTGGCAGTTTAGCAGTAAAACAGCTATTACTGTGTATCCTTGCCTATTGCCTTACCCTGCTATGAGGTAGCTGAAGGCAGAGGGTTACAAACTTATTTGTTAGGGAGCCAGGGCTGTCAAGGGGTAGGTATGCTTAGCTATGATTCCTTCAATCTATAACAAATGATATACCTCAATTTATAGCAAAGAATATGCCCTGGATTGTAGAAAAATGTGGCTTTTAGGGGTCTTGTGAGTAGATGAGATAAGATGCTCATAGAGTGTTGGGATGGTGGTAGAACAGGCGTGGGCTGTGCATGGGTCTCCATAATGTTCTCTCAAAAGAGCAAGCAGACATTGTCCACACCTCAAGCACATTTCTTCGGTTGCATATACAGAAAACTTCTTCAACAAGTCTGCATTGCTGCATATGAACAGCCTGTTAATTATTTCCTTGTGTCTGTTACTTAGGGACTTTGAAGAACAAGGTTTCTTCAAATATAGATCCTTAAAACACCTGGATCTAGATTCAGGCTGGTCTCCACCGAGCTAAGGTTTACATTGAGGAAGAGCTCAGTATATGTACTTGGTGAATACCTGTTCTCCAGACTTCTGCAATGAAATCATGAGAATTGTCTCTTCTTGTTATCGTTAGGTTAGATTTGGGTATCCGTGTTATGCAAGTCTTATAAAACAAGTCAGAAGTATTCAGTACTTTTTGGCTATCTGAAAGCATTTATGGAGAATTTGGACTGGATAATTATTAATTATTTAAAATACTCATTAGTGGTAGCATTACATATGACATAGATGATACTTTTAGCTGGAAGTTATAAAATAACACATTTATAATTTAAAGTTATTTTTTAACTGTGGTGTGTGTGTGTAGGTAGGTACCCATAAAAGTGGAGGTGTATACAGGTGGCCAGAGGTGCTGGATCCATCCAGAGCTGAAGTTATGGGTGGTTGTGAGCTGTCTATGTGGGTGCTGGAAACCACATTTGTGTTCTCTGCAGGAACAGCAAACCCTCTTAACTAAGTTTTCCTCCAGCCTCAAATTCATTTTTTAAACATTAGAAGGTCACTCTGATTTTCAATGGACTCCGTTCTTAGTTATGACAGTTTGTGTTTTCCAAGAATTTGCCACTTGAATTATATTTTCAAACTTATCAGGTAAAAGTCATTTATACTATGTTGACATATCTTCTTGATAGTTTATTATAAAATTACAGTGAATTAATATTCACTGTACAAAAACATTTGAAGAATTCTGCAGTAAAGATTGATCCATTCTGGGCCTGGCTTATTTCAGATTCCATAGTGTCTGCATTGTTTTAAATTATAGGACTTCCTTTTTTATTTTTTTAGGTTCAGTGATAATATTCCATTAATACTGAATATTCATACGTAGACACATACTCAGCCATATGTCACTAAGTAATATGGTTCATTTTGATAGTTGACTGCTTGGGGGTTTTGCCAACATTATGGACTGTACACACACAACCCAAAACGGATTTGACCGTGAGAGGTGATACTACAAGTGGGCGGTGGTGGTATATAACTTTAATCCCAGTACTCAGGGGGCAGAGACCAGTGGATAGCTGAGTTTGGGGCCAGCCTGGTCTACAGAGTGAGTTCCAAGATAGCCAGAACTATCCTGACAGAAACCTTGTCTCAAAAATAAAAAAAAATGAAAGAAAGAAAGAAAGAAAGAAAGAAAGAAAGAAAGAAAGAGAAGGAAAGAAGGAAAAAAAGAACTGTTATAAAAAGTCAGTCTATCACTCACCAAACTATCATAATGTCACTCGGGACTCCATAGGCTCCGTTTCTTCTACTTACTCAACTGGTGATGGACATTCAGGTTGGTTCCACGTCCTGGGAACTGTGATCGAGTACCATTGGATAAAACCACTTCCAAATCTTCCAAGCCCTTCTTCATTTATCCACTACTCTATTCAAGGTAAAAAAATAACCATGTAGGTTTCTACAAACACATTTTTGAAAGAACAGATTAGGAACTGGGATGAGGCCTTGATCAGAAGCAAATTTAGTGGATAACAGGCGAGAGGCATCAAACGGTGAGCTCACCTCATTTCAGGTAGGAGACTTCAGTCCGTTTCTAGGAGTTTGCTTTTGCTCTGCAGGAGGGTTGGGGTGTGGACATACGTATAGTGTCATCGGACTTAACTACTTGATTCCAAAGAGAGGGCATCTGGATCTATAAATGCTGCTGTAAAGGGAAGCAGTATAAACCATGGAGCCCGCTGGAAACGTTGCGATCTCCTGGTGCACACGGGGGCGCGCATGTGCAGTCACAGAATAGACCAGGGAAGGCTCAATCCCGTTTGGTTGTTGACCTCAGGAGAATTTCCCAGCAGATGTGACAAACCTAGACTGTATTTATGCTTTGCGTAGTCAGCCAATTGCAATTGTTCACATTTCTGTGCCCTAAATTCTATTCCCCCCAAAGTCTTTTCATCACATTTCTGCCCCTGAACCCATCCTCGTCTACCCTTTAGAAAGAAGAGAACTCATGATCTCTTTCGGCGAAGGTGAACATAAGGATTCCTGCAACTGCAGGACTGTGAATATATTAACCAGCTAGTGATTTTAGGATCACTTATGAAAAACACTAACAATTCAAGAGTTGCCCACGAGATGGCGACCTCTACTAATTGTTCACACTACAGCTTCGAGGCAGTATTGATGATTGTTTAGGGGCACACAGCAGGGCAAACACCTTGAGTGTATTATACAGCTACCAATAGGAGATGGCACTCCCCGAGGGCTTAGATACCAGCCACTTACTGATTATATAGGCACAAAAACATATCTGTATAGCTATGCTTAATTTATATACCACATCTCACCAACGTTAGAGTTTGTTCCTTTTGCCTTCAAAGGGAGTATTGCTTTCCATTACTTGTTTTCTAGGTAACTTGGACTTTGAACGTTGGTCAGTCTTGTAATGATATTGAAATTTATGTATTATATAAATTTAAATATTATATAATTTTACTTATTCCTTTTGGTTTTCTCTCCTTTTTGTCTTGGAAAATGCTGCTTTTCAGGGCTCTTGTTGTCAAGACATTGCAAAATTTCTAAAACTTCTTTATATTGAGAATTTTACGTTCGGGGGCATTGATAAAGTTAATCTTGAATCATTTTGTACAAAAGTAAGATGAAATTTTAGGTTCAATTATATTTATTTGATTTTCAAAAACAATATCTGACTCTATGAAACCTCTAAGAACATTGAACTTCAATGTCAGGACTTTTTATTTTTGTGAGGAAGAGTTTGCAACAACAATGCTGAGATCAGTAGGTTTGTCATAAATTATGTTACAATTTAAAAGCATTCTCATAAAGAATTTTGGGGTTTTTTGGGGTTTAGGGTGAAGTGTCTTAGAAAGTTTTTTAAAAGTATTTATGTAATTAATGTATATAAGTACACTATAGCTTTCTTCAGACATAGTAGAAATGGCATCAGATCCCATTACAGATGGTTGTGAGCTACCATGTGGTTGCTGGGAATTGAACTCAGGACCTCTGGATGAGTAGTCAGTGCTCTTAACCTCTAAGCCATCTTTCCTCTTAACCACTGAGTTATATAACCACTCCAGCCCTTTAGAAAGTTTTGATGTGATCATATGTGAAGATGTTCCCAATAACAATGAAGACAGCTTTGCCACAGGACATCTGCATGGCAACAAGAGGTTAAGGGGTACCATAAGTCCTAAAGTTAGGTAGTAGTGATTGTACTTACATATTTATTAATATTTGTTTGGGTTCTGAATTTTAGATATTCTATATGCTACAACAATAAGCTGTGAAAAGGTTAGGCAATTATAGCCCTTAACTCCCCTCCTTTAAAAAATGAAATCTGTGAGATTCAACAAATTCATCAATATTTTTTGAATAAGGAAAGGGATAGGGCTGGATCTGCCATTGTTTTACCGCATAATCAATGAGCATTTGCTAACCAATTCCCACTTCAAAGTAGAGTTGCTTAGAAAAACAATCAGATAATTAGATGACAGTTAAGGGTCAGCAAGATGGATTTTCTGCTGGTCTTTTGGGTTGCCCCACAGACAGACAGGGTTTGCTAGCACCTGAATGACCTACAGCAATTCACTCCTCGTGTCACCTCAAGGATAGTAGCAGGCTATTGGTCAGAGTCACGGGGATAATGAACAGCATAGCTCTATTGTATCTTTCATTGGCCATTGTACTAGCTTGGCTCTATTCCTATGCCCACCATGGAGAGATCCCCAAACCAAGCAGGTAGAAGCTGAAAGAAAGTCTCTCTCGTAATTTAGACCTGAATTTAGAAAGCTTCAGTTCCACTGCCTCTCATTGGTCAAGCGAGTCGCACTGATAGCCCGGAGTAGAGGAATAGACCCTACTTGCTAATGGGATGGGAAACAAATAATCTGCACTTATGACCCCAATATCAAAAGCTTCATAAGCATATTTCCAGTATTCAGCCTGCAGAATCCTTTTATAGGTAATTAAATATGCACCTTGCCCTTTTACTTAAGAGTTACTCATTTTTGTATGAGAAAGGCAGTACTTAGAATAGCTCTCTAAACATGAGTTCCCTCAAAGAAATTCCTGTCTCGCTGTAAGGAAAATTATGAAAATTGTGAAAGTGGAGAGAATTGGGGAAAAAATGACAGGCTTTGTGTCAGAGAGCAGGCAGCACCATTTGGAATTGGCTCATGCAAGATGAAGAATGTGTTGAGCACAATATGAAAAGGGGCTTTAAATATTCAGAGAGGTTTTCCGAGCAAAGTAGAGGCTCAGCCACTCCATCCCACTCATTGAGAATATGTTTCCAATTTGTAAGGGGGAGGTGTTGTAAGCCAAGCAGCACCTCCTTGGAGCGAAGTGGAAGATATGTACATATATGACTTGCCTGCAGAAGGAACTCAGAACAAATCCAAGCTCTGTGAACTGGAGCATGCTGGCATGCAATGGAAAGTCTGTGGCGATTCATGAGGTGGGGTTTCACTGTCGCAGCACAGACAGTGACAGACATGAGCTGGAACCCGAGGCGAGCCGTCTGCATGGGTCATGTCATTATAGAGTCAAGGATCTGAGAGTCTGGGTGTTCAGGAAGTATGAAATAAATCAGTCAGCCCTCCAGATGTTTTTACCTCCACACTTCCTACCTCAGAGTGTGTGCAGGAAGTGGGGCGCCACAATGACTGCAGGTGAGAGAAATCAGTGCGATACAGCAAAGCAGACAGTGGGGAAAAACACGCATAGCGTTGCGATGACATTCTTTACCAAGGGGTACATTAGCTACATTCATAATTCAAAAGAAACTGAGCTGTGGACATTTGCAGTTCTGGAAGATAAACTGGTATGTTAAGGTCCAGCTCCCGTGAGACTTTTTTAATTTCTAAAGATGATAGAGAAACACAAGTGAACAATGTTTCTTTGTAGCTTTCTGTTTGAGTAAACGGAATCCTGGTCATTCTCTATTAACTCAAAGTATGTTAAAATTCAGCACTCATTCCATGAATTAAATACAGTTCATACTCTGTCTTGTGTTTTTAACTGAAGGTCTTTGAAATTAGAGCTACTGGTTTATTGGCTGATTCTTTGTTTCAGAGGACCTTATAATGTCCTTCACTGTATCCATGACGATTGGGCTGGCAATCGGAGGATTTCTCTGGGCGCTGTTCGTTTTTCTGTCTCGAAGAAGAAGAGCCAGCGCGCCCATCTCACAGTGGAGTCCTACCAGGAGACCCAGGTCTTCCTACAACCATGGCCTCAACAGGACTGGGTTCTACCGCCACAGTGGCTATGAACGGCGAAGCAACCTCAGCCTGGCCAGCCTCACTTTCCAGAGACAAGCTTCCATGGAGTTGGCAAATTCCTTCCCCAGGAAATCAAGCTTCAGGGCTTCGACTTTCCATCCCTTCCTGCAGTGCCCACCACTTCCGGTGGAAACTGAGAGTCAGCTGATGACCCTGTCTGCCTCCACCACTCCATCTACCATCAGCACCACACACAGTTCGAGCCGGCCAGACTTCCGCTGGTCCAGCAACAGCTTGCGGATGGGCCTCTCCCCACCGCCCCCACCTGCCTATGAATCCATCATAAAGGCATTTCCCGATTCCTGAGTCTGGGCTTTCGTTGTTTTTAATTCTTTAAAAGAAAAAATGTCTCTTTTAGAAAGAAAATGATATATAGGGTAAACAGAATTTGGGAGCCATGGCCCCAATGAGTAATTTTCCAAGTAGACAGGCTCATAAAAGCTGACCATTACCGATAAGGCACGGTTTCTTTTGAACAAGTTTTTCTCACTATGTCTCACAAAAGTATTTTCTCAAAAAGTCCTACCTATATTTATGTATTTTTTGGATTTAGTGTGAGGCATCGAATTAAAGATACCGATTCAAGATTCTAATGTACAAATCATGTGTATTTGTATGTTTTAGGTTAAAAAGACTTTAGATGTTTGTATAGGGTAATAATCCCCCATTCACTTTCCCACGAGACTGCTGACAAACCAAAGTCACTAAAATAAGAAATTTCAATGTTACTTTTGTGCGGCGACTGAGTCACTGGCATCCTGGAATCTTAGCGCTTTCATGGTGCGTGTTTACGAGACAATAGAACAGCGGAAGTTCTAAAAGCCCAGGATTCTACTCATTTGTGGATGAGAGTCAAGCAAAGGTGCCAAGCTGTGCTGATGTCACAGGAATGGTTCCATTTTGACAGTTACCTTGCTTCTTTCCCCACATAGATTCATCTTGTAGTTCTTCCCAGTACAGTCACCCATATCGTTGATGTAAAACCCTTGGATTTAGGGGTATGAGGATTTAAATGCAGGCCTGCTGGGGTAATGTCATTACCACAGCAATGGCAAATTCAGTTTATTTGTTTTAAGCATGAGGTTTTCTTTAGCATCAAGTAACGTTTTTTACTTTCCTGAATTTTGTTCCAACAACTAGGAAAGCACTTATCTAGGGCAGCGGTTCTCAACCTGTGGGTCATGACCCCTTTTGAGGTCAAACTCCCCTTTCACAGGGGGGTCACCTAAGACTATTGGAAAACACAGATATTTAACGGTACAATTCACAACAGTAGCAAAATTACCGTTATGAAGTTAACAACAGAAATAATTCTGTGGTTGGGAGTCACCACAACATGAAGGACTGTATTATATAGGCTCACAGCATCAGGAAGGTTGAGAACCACTGAGATAATCCACAGTGAAAAACATGCTGCATCTCTGGATGGCAATTCCTCCTGGGTCATCTCAGGCCCCAGGAACCATCCCATGGGAAATGTTCTGTGAATCCCATCTCTAACGTCCTTAAAAGGCTAAAGTCACTAAAAGGTCTCTGTTTGAGATAGTTACCCAAGGACTCCACATCAACAGGTGGGGACTTCTTTAATGTGGGCACCAGAGACTCCACATGAACAGGTGGGGACTTCTTTAATGTGGACACCAGAGACTCCACGTGTTCCTTTTGCCTCAAGGACAGGAGTTCACTGGGGGATTGTTCAGAAATCTTGTACCTCACATTGAACACATCAAGTACAATTGATTATTCTTCTGTACATAATTTTTAGTGATGCCCAGTGGTCCCAGCTAATGGTGTCTGAAGATAGTTCAAGAATATAACTCCTTTCACAAAAGATAGCCAACAGCATTTCTTTATTAATTTTGCCCATTGTTCCTCAAGAGAAATTAGTCTTCAAAATGCCTACCAAAATACTTGGTAATAAATACACAAGAGAAGAAGAAAGGAAAACATACATAAGGCAAAATAAGGAAAATATATAAAGTGTTCCTAAGGAAATGTAGTACAGTCCTGGTAAGATTTCATGAGAGAACTTCAGCTTAGTAACAAGGCTAATTTTAGATTGTATGTCATCCTCGGTGTTTAACATGAGAATCGAGGAAGGCATGCTTTTTTATCAGTGATTTATATTGGGAATGAAAACCATTCCTACCTCCTCCTGCAGGAAGGAAATGAGAGCTGAGGTCATTTGGCTATTTGGCAGAATTCTTACCTGATCCTCAGGCTCGGTTATAAAAGAGAAGTGTTGTATAAATATTGTGTTTTGCATGAAATGTGAAATTAAAGCCAAAGCTAGAAGTGTTTGTGGTTGTGATTGTCTTATTTGAAATTTTTTTTATTATGAAATAAAACTGATGTTAACTTCAATTCACAGCTTATTTCTTGACTAATGAAAACACTTTCAATCAAGAAGTAAAGAATTTAAAAGACTAAAATGTAAAATAGAAAAGCATATAATGTTTTTGAGACAGAGTCTCACTATTCACATGGACTGACCTAGAACTTGCGGTATAGACCAGACTATCCAGGAACTCACCGGGATCAGCTTGCCTCTGCCTCCTGTGTGCTGGGATTAAAGCCTTGCACTACCATGCTTGCCTATAAAATATCTAATGAAGAAATAATGGGGAGTTTAAAGATCATTAGTTGACATTGGTATACTGGTACTTGCCTGTAATTCCAGCACCCAGAAGGCCAAGGAAAGAAATTTCATCATGAATTGGAGTCTAGCCTGGATTATACAACAAGATCTAAACTTTAACAGCACAATAACTGTCACTGAGTAACAATATCTGGTAGTCCAGTGTTTGTGAATGAAGGGTACCAAGTTCTTTTTTCCCCATGAAAATATCTGACAGAGACAAGGTAACAGAGAAAGAAAGAAACAACCAGTAACAAGTATTTACTATGGAAGTTAATGTTTTTCCTGAGAATGTGCCTGTGTGCACTTAAAATATTTTAGCTGCTTTTTTGACTATTACTTTAGTTATTTATTTATAAGAGAACACATCACATCACTGCTAGCAATTACATAAAGCAAGGAGGCCCTTTCCATGTGTCTGATGACCTGGTACATCAGGTATGCCCTTTAAAAAGAGTCTAACGAAATGTACCGAGAGTCTTGGATAGCTGGGGGTTATGGTGCATGCATCCTATATGGGAAATAGAGCCAGGGATATCAAGAATTCAAAGTCATTATAAACTACACAGGAAGTCTGAGACCATACTAAGCTATAGGAGACCCTGTCTCAGAATTAAATAAAGTAGAATAAATCCTTGTATTGACCTCAACATTCCCGTCAAGCACAAAATTTTTATATGAAAAATTCTGATTTTTTTCTTTTTTTAGACAGACCAATCCTGATAGAATAGCCTTGCATGTCTGAACCAGAATGTTCTATATAATATGGTACGCAACTTACCAAATTTACTCTGCTGTCCCTTGAGGCCTGAACTAATTAAGAGGAAGGGAGAGAGCAGGAGAGACTTGCCAGTATGGGTGGCTCTGAGAGGAAAAAGATACTGGAAAGGCAGAGGCGTGGAGTAATGGTCACAGTCTCCTTTTAACAAATCCTCATTCCTGAAGGCGGTATGTACCATTTCATGACTCTACACTTTGGAAAAAAATGACTCCAAACTTGTTAAAAATAACAGGAGATGAGAACTACATCCTCAAGGTGTGTCCTAAGGATATTTCCTCCCTGACTCAGGCAGTTAGACCCCTGTGGCAGACAGGAACCCTCTCCTGGGAACACATTCTTTAAATTTTTTCTAAACCTCACTCAAGTGTAGGGTGCTTTCCAGGGCTGACAGTGCTCTCAGGGCAGGACACCCATGAGGATCCCAACCGCGGACTCTCTCTTTTCACGTGTAACGTGATTCTTCTTCATCTTCTAGGCAAGGTTCAGGGCCCCCGGGAACACTGTGACTGTTATGAACCCGTCTCTAAACAGGAGCTGTAGACTCAACTGTGAGGGCTCGTAGGGGCTTACGGAGACTGAAGGGTCAGTCACAGAGCCTGCATGGGTCTGTACTAGGTCCTCTGCGCACATTATGGTTGTTAGTTTGAGGTTTAGTAGGACTCCTAACAGTGGGAGTGGGGGCTGTCTCTGACTCTTGGCTGCTCTTGAGATGCTTTTCCTCCTACTGGGTTACCTCATCCAGCCTCGGTATGAAGGTTTGTGCCTAGTCTTATTCTACCTTGTTATGCTGTGTTCCATTGACATTCCTGGGAACCCTGCTCTTTTCTGAAGGGAGACAGAGCAGTGGATCTTGGGGAAAGGGAAAGTTGGGAGGGTAGAGAGGAGTGGAGGGAAGGGAAACCATGGGAGGGATGTATTGTATGGAAGGAGGAATAAATTCTAAAAACCCACCTCTGTGTCAGGATCCCAGTTCTAAAAGGAAATGGAAAGACACCCGCAGAGAGGGATTCATTTCCTTCATGGAATTCTGTGGCAAGGGACCAGCAGAATGGTATGTGGCTGGCATGTGATTTTGCATTTCTTCATTCAGGGTAATAAATTCTCTTGGGCACTGACAAAGTGGTAAGCAACTACAGACCCATTTCTCCTTTTGAAGAACTCATAGCAGAATCACTTGCACACTCCCATGGATTTTGCAAAGCATTTTTTTAAACAAGGCAATGTCATACACACAGTATTTTTCCAGGGGTTCATATACCTTAGGTGTGTTCCTGCATTGAGATAGTGTAGGCAAATATAATCCACTTGCATGAGTTGATTTGAAAAGCAAGCTTAGCTGTAATAAGAGGATGGCCAACTCTGACTCTTCAGTATAGACACAATGTTTACTAAAGAGCTTTTAAAAAAGATTATATATATGAGAGTACACTATCACTGTCTTCAGACACACCAGAATAGGGCATCAGACCCCATTACAGATGGTTGTAAGATGCTGGGAATTGAACTCAGGACCTCTGGAAGAGCAACCAGTGCTCTTAACCACTGAGTCATATCTCTAGCCCTACTAAAGAGCTTATCATATAGTAGGTGGTACTTTTAAAGTGGAGCCCACAGTCCAGGCCATGTAAGAGACAGGGTTTACTTGAATCTTTCTTATTTGGATGAGTGAATAGAAAGTAGCGATGGGAAGTTCTCATCTATGGAAGCTGTTGTAAGATACACTTTAAAATCAACTGATTGTGTTCTAGAAGGTGTGGGTCAGAAGATCTATGGCTGCATCCCAATGACCTTGTTGCTTATAGTTAGGCCTGTACAGGTACTGAAAATAACCTTAGAGATGGATATAGTTAAACAGATATAGATAGGCGCTCTGGGATTCCCAGAATGCTAGGGACAGGAGGTCGTGGTTCTAGTCTTTACTGAAAACAAGGAAGCCGGTGCTTGGCTAAGACTGGCGGTGGGAAGCTGGTGCCTAAATTGATTTCCCAACTAGAGTGAGGATGGGAAACTGGAGCCATCCATTCTCAATGACCATGAGGCAAATAGTGAAAGCACTGATCCAGTCTATGGTGGCCACAGGCAGATGTTCCCTCAGAGGCGAAGAACAATCTGAGAGACAGTTTTGACGTAATGCAAAGCAGACAGTCAATCCGGTTTGCAGAAAGAACTCAGAAGATCAATGGGAGAGTCATTATGAGAGAAAAGTTAGAAAATTCAATAACACAATTTGGCAGAAAGTATTCATAATAGAAAAATATAAACACAAAACCCACAACATGACGAAGAGTCTGAATATAAGGACAAACAACAAAGGACAGCTCTGGTTAGCTCAGTGAGCACAGCACTTGCCTGACACACTTGAAGGCCCGAGCTCCTCTCAGCACGCATAAACAAACATCTGTCCCCTCACTCCAGGGAAACGAAGGCAGGAGGATCAGAAGATCAAGACCACCTTCTGTCACAGAGTGGGATACATGAGATTCTGATCTACCTCTCTGACAACTCTCTCTCTCTCTCTAACTCTCTCTCTCTCTCTCTCTCTCTCTCTCTCTCTTTTTAAAAAAAATTCCACAAAAAAATACATGGAATTTTGATGATTGATAATGGCCACCTCAGAGACATAGTATGGGGTTTTTGAGAATACCTTAAATATGTGTTTTAAAACAATTGGGAAAATTAAGAAAAAGGGATCTAATAACATGAAAATCACACACACACACACACAATACACAGTTACAATTGATTTAATATGATAGTTGCAGCAAATACTTATAAAAATTTAACTGTATCACACTGTTATTAAAAATTTGCCATGAATTCAAGTGCCAACCTCATCTGTCTATCTATCTATCTATCTATCTATCTATCTATCTATCTATCTATCTATCTATCGTCTGTCTGTCTATCTGTCCATCTGTCTGTCTATCCTATCTATCTATCTATCTATCTATCTGTCTATCTATCTATCTATCTATCTCTGTTCCTCTGTTGTTCTCTCTCTACCCCCTCTCCTTCTTCCTCTGATTCTTTTAACATGTTATTTCTTCTTTTGCTTTATAAAGTGAAAGAAAGAATTATGAAGACATGCTAGTGGACAAGATAAATCCAGAAGTTACCGGGCAGTGGAAGAATAAGGTAATGTTGAGAACCACAGATCATTGCTTTGCTCCCTCCAGTCACTTCTCAAATCTGAATTCCTATCCGTGGCCTTCTGTCCACCTGTGGCAGGAACCATTGCTGCATCAAATGTATCCTGCTGCTTGGTGTAAGAAGGCTTTTAACCAAGTACAAGTCACGGTTTCTACTGAAAGTTTAGGAATCTGGAGTCAGGAAGGCTAGTTCTTGCAAACGGCTAAAACCTTAAGACGTGATGTTTAAAAGCCCATTTCTTCTGTAATAATAAGAAAAGAGAATTAAGCTAACCCACAAAAGAGCAGAAAAAGCAAAGAGGAGTCAGTCATGTTGAAATTCTTCATCTCTGTAATTTGGACTCCTGACAATGTCTCCCTCCTTCCTTTGGCAGGGGTAATTCAGTTATCCATTAGGCACAACAAGTTTCTGTCAAATTCCTAGTTCCATATAAATGATGCTAGGTTGGATTATGAAAATCTGTCAAAATGTTTCTAAAAATGCAGAGGATTTATATGTGTTGTTTTATTTCTAAAGCTTGTAAACTGAAAAATATGTACAGAAGAAGCATATTAATGAGACATTATACTAGCAAATGACCTATTTTCAGGAAAATGGGCCTGCATACATATAAATTATAGGTCTTATGATAAGTGATAGAAACAGAAAATAATAACAGAAATAAAAAGTGACTGTAGAAGATTTCAGACACAAAGTCAAGTCAATTATATTCATTCCTTATAATAATTAAGTCTAATGAAATATACACAGACGTACCAAATGGCAGGCTTCTGTCCTATCAGAACCTTCTAGCCA